TGATTCAAGTCAGACTTCTATTTACTAGACCTAGAATTATTTTACTTACACAGATCAGGTAAGAATTTAGTAGGCTGTCCATCTATTTCTTTTCTTGAGACACTGAGAATCAACTAATAAATGCCATAGGTCTATGGGCCAGTTAGAATATTTTGATTATTGTTTTGGTCCCACTGTCTATTACAGTAACCATGCCCACATTGTTTTTGGCAATTAAGTGCCACCTCTTAGCCCCTGCCACAGGGATCCCATAATTTACATTGCATTTAGAGATCTCAGTTTAGTGGTAGCAGTTCTCCCTGTAATTTCTGACCTACAGAGAAGGGCAATCACAGACCTATTCAAGGATGCTGGGGCTTTCCTCCCAAATCTATTTCTCACAGTCATGGTAAAAAGTGTGTTCTCTGGTCTCTCCCAACTCTCCCAAGGTGGGTGAGCAGGATTTATATGATAAATCCACGTTAACATTTTAATGTCCCTAAATCTTTGAATACCTCCTTCTATAAACACACCAAGGCGGTTCTGGCATTTGGCTACTCTGGTCCATATTTCAGTCAATCAACCAAACAGAGCTCTTTCTTTCTTTCTTTCTTCTTTTTTTTTTTTTTAAAAAAGATTTTGTCAGAGAAAGAGCAAGCGAGGACAAGCAGGGGAAGCGGCAGGCAGAAGGAGAAGCAGGCTCCTCAATGAGCAGGGAGCCCAATGTGGGACTCGATCCCAGGACCCTGAGATCATGACCTGAGCTGAAGGCAGATGCTTAACCACTGAGCCACCCAGGAATCCCAACAGAGCGCTTCCTAACCCCACAAGCTGAAACACTGAATTCAGAATTCTGCTTAGTGAGCCACTTCTTAGTAATTTTAGCCTCATCCAACTTTATATTCCTTCCAACTTCATCCCACATCCTTAAGATCCATTCCCACACGTAGTCCCATTTCCTATCTATGTAAATTAGGAAGATCACACAGTTCTCGCAGAATGTATCATACCTCCTCACATTTTGGACTCCAGGTAGGAAAAAAAAATAGATATAAAGGACTCCACTGGGACAACTGATGAAATTTGAATGTGAATTGTGGATTAGGTACTAGAATTCTATGTTATATTTTCTGAGTTTGACCTTTGTGCTGCAATTATTTGCGTTTCTGTTCTTAGGAAATACATACAAATCTGTGTAAAAATAGCCTACCCTTTATTTAAAACATAGCTAACAGTGAATTTCATTCCCATGTTTCAATCATACCATTATTGTTTATGTAGCTCCTGAATTTTTTTCAAAAAATTATGTTTCTTTTCTTAACCGTTTAAAGCTGACATTTAAAATGTTTCATCATAAGTTTTACTGAGGACAACTATTCAAAGCTGCTAAATAAGATGAAAAGATGATTATTTAAACTTTTAATGTCTTGCTAAGAGCATTTTCTAACAATCCATTGCAGGATAATCTGGCTCCTTCAGGGAATAGAAGTCTGACTCAGTTTTGTGCCTGATCAGGACACAGTCATTTTATAATTATGTCAAGTTACGAATTAGCTGGTCGAAAAATGGTAAGGTGTGTGGATTTTTCTAGTCTGTCTGCTAGAGCAGATAACCTTAAACGTTATGATCTTATTGCCCCATAACACGTTAGCCAATTTTGGTTCTAATTTACCTGTACTGCTTAAGTGTCCCTTCGTTCACTGACTACATAAAATCCAAGTTTCTCATTTCCTATTTAAAACAGTCCTGTCTCATGCTAGTTCCTTCTGTAATGGGTTAACTAAAACTTTGACTCATCTACTTGTATGATTTTTAGCTTCTATTTGTATAATAATTATATTTTTAACATTTTGCGAGTTATGCTTTGACAGTTCAAGGTGTCATAAAATATGTAATTATAATACATTGTAAAAAAATTAAAGTAAAACTACTAAATCACTCTTTTGATCTATTTAGATGAATCCAAATACCATAGCAATTTAATACCTACCATCATTCATTTTAAAAATATAGGAATGACCTATTCTTCAACAATCAGAAGTTTTAAATCATTGCTTTTCCTCCTTAAATTCATGCCCAGAATTCTCAAAAGTCATTTATTAATAATTCATCATACCTCTTGGCAAAAAGATGTATATATATATGTAATCAATATATATTATATGTTCATATATAAAGGCATATATATGCAAATATATATTTTTTATTTACATACATATGAAGTTATTGTTTTAAAATTTTCTTCTCTGACTCTGAGGCTATAAATTTTAAAAATTCAAAAGTCAATTTATCATTATAATCATTATGATCAAAACAATAGCTACATATTAGATTTTTAAAATAATTATTAAATATAAGAAACTATTTTATTGGAAATGCAACTCAGTAAGATTGGTGGAGTATGTTTATATGATTTTATATATTAATGGATGAATATTATTACTATTTTAATTTTTATTGATCAATAAGTAGATGGAAATGGAAGGGATGTTGTTATAGCATTATCATTTAATTCTTTGAGATCATGAGTTGCACGCCAAAATAGTAATAGTAATTTATTACTATTTTGAATAGTAATTTATTCTTCCAAAATGATGTTTAGTGATCTGCCAGCTAATAATAATTCCATTATGTCATCTTTCAATTTTGTTGACAGTAAAGAACTAGAAACCCCTCACCTACATAAGGACTTTTACTTAGTCGTTTCCCATGCTGACACCAAGATTTTGAATGGATCCTTTGTTTTGCACTTGGAGACTTGCCTACCCAGAGCAACATACATAAAATCAGGGATAGGAGAGCCATAGGCCTTCCTTCCATAGAGTGGAAGGCGAAATGGGGGAAGGAGAACCTGCAGTACCAAGTACAGGGTGCATATGCAAGTGCAGATCTGGAAACTGATTCTGTTAAACATCATAACAACTTATGTAGTTTGAAGACTGCTACTCTGGATAATTGAGCTCATGACTTTATGATGATGCAAAGTAGGACTCCCTCAGACACCAACGCCAACCTTTCAATAGGTTTAAATAACTTCCCAGTACAGGTGCACTGAACCCACCATATCAACTGTGTAATTAACCCAAACGTACCTGCTAATATAGTTCCAAAGAGAAATTCACAAACTGAAGAAAATACATCCTAGAAATGTATATCTGAATTTGACAAAAATTCTTTGAGGGAAAAGCAATTTAAGAAAGATGAAAAATATCCCCTATCATCAGAAGCTAATGGTGATATTTTATTCTGACATATTAATGCAGAAAGTTGCACTCACTGACTCACTTGCCTGGAACTGAGATGCAGAAATATCCTCTCATGTCCCCAGTGATGGGAAGAAAGGCAGTCAACCAAAGAAAGTTAGCAGAACACACCAGTGTTTGAATAGTCTAATCAGAGATATCATTACTTGCCAGATAATCAGTTCAAACAACATAAGAGGGGAAAAATATATTTTCCCTTTCTTCTCCTAATAAGCTTTTGAGGAATTTATATGTAAATTTCAGCAAGTTTTCAGACCCCCTCTTCAAAAATATAAAAGAAACAGGCTTTTATATTCTCCTGTCACAATCCATTTCCAAATCATTTCATTCTATAACCTTACTTAAAAGTCAGGGTTAAAAAAAAAAAAAGTCAGGATTAATTTAATTAATTGGAAAAAAAAGCAACTATATAAAAAAAAATATATATAAATCTCCCTAAACTCATCCTAAAGCATGCTCTGTTAACTTGTAGACCTGTCCTTCCTAATGAGGTAATATGTATATTCCAATATTTCAGATTGTAAGGTTTACCTGCCCATTGATTTTATCAAGTGTATTTTAAGGCAAGAAGATTAATAGGTTTCTCCAGCCTGGAATAGGGTTTACTGCCAATCACATATAGCAGCCTTCATCTACAAGGAGTTAATGGTCCATATACTCTTACTTCCTTCTCTTATTGTGACTTCCTGGTCGTCATATCAGCCCAGCCGAGGGAGAAATGAGGTAATGACCCCCCTGTAGCCTCTGTGTTGGGGATGGATAAGCAGTAAAGATGCAGGGGGCCTAGTGATGGCTTCCCATGCCCTGTGGTGGTGATGACACAGAGCCATCACCATGGCTGTAAGTCCATATTGAAACACCCCACTCATCCTTACCTCTGACTTAGGGAGCAAGAAAGGAGGGGGGTGAGGTTTAAATTTTCAAGTCTGTAGAAATGGGTTCATAGGAGAGGAAGACAGGTTGTTCTCATAATTCTTATCTTTCACCACTTCTAGAAGGGACAAGAGAAATGGTCCATTATACACAATCTTTTATTCTCCCAACTAAGTAAATGGCTTGACCTAGGACAAGGATGGAGGATAAGAAAAGAAGACCACAACCAAACAATTTGCTCTCAAACATTTTTCCAAATGCTTTGGAAATTCAATGTTTAAAAGAAGGGCTCAAGTGAGGAAAGGGAAGGTTTCTTTTTTTCCTCAAACGCTTTTTTGTTTCATCTAGCACTCTGAATCTGACTCAGAAGGATAGAAGAAGAGTTAATGTGAGAAGAGCAGAAGCAGTTGATTGAGTGTACAACTTCAACTCAAAGAATACCTTCCTCTATTTAGTTAACAGATTCTTCTTTTCATGCTTCTTCAATTGAGAGTTTTAAGTACCCAACTCTCAGTGATCACAAGGATTACCTGAGTGGCTTTGAAATTATATGGATACCTGAGCTCTGTCCCTGGAGACTCTAAAACAATAGTTGTGAGATGGGGTTTGGGCCACTGCTGCAAAAAAGCAGTAATCAAAAATTTCCCAACAAACAAGAGCCCAGGGCCAGATGGCTCCCCAGGGGAATTCTACCAAACATTTAAAGAACAATTAATACCTACCTATTCTTCTGAAACTGTTCCAAAAAAATAGAAATGGAAGGAAAACTTCAAACTCACTTTATGAGACCAGCATTACCTTGATCCCAAAACCAGACAAGGACCAAATCAAAAAGGAGAACTACAGACCAATATCCTTGATGAACATGGATGCAAAAATTCTCACCAAAATACTAGCCAACAGGATCCAACAGTACATTCAAAGGATTATTTCCACGACCAAGTGGGATTTTTTCCTGGGCTGCAAGCGTGGTTCAACATCTGTAAATCAATCAATGTGATACAATACATTAATAAAAGAAAGAACAAGAACCACATGATCCTCTCAATAGATGCAGAAAAAGCATTTGACAAAGTACAGCATCTTTCTTGATTAAAACTCTCCACAGTGTAGGGATAGGGGTACATACCTCAATATCATAAAAGCCATCTATGAAAAACCCACAGCGAATATCATACTCAATGGGGAAAAACTGAGAGCTTTTCCCCTAAGGTCAGGAACACGGCAGGGATGTCTACTATCACCATTGCTATTCAACATAGTATTAGAAGTCCTAGCCTCAGCAATCAGACAACAAAAAGGAATAAAAGGCATCCGAATCGGCAAAGAAGAAGTCAAACTCTCACTTTTTGCAGATGATACGATACTTTATGTGGAAAACCCCAAAGACTCCACCCCAATACTGCTAGAACTCATACCAGAATTCAGTAAAGTGGCAGGATATAAAATCAATGCACAGAAATCAGTGGCATTCCTATACACCAACAACAAGACAGAAGAAAGAGAAATTAAGGAGTCGATCCCATTTGCAACTGCACCCAAAACCATAAGATACCTAGGAATAAATCTAACCAAAGAGGCAAAGGATCTGTACTCAGAAAACTATAGAATACTCATGAAAGAAATTGAGGAAGACACAAAGAAATGGAAAAACATTCCATGCTCATGGATTGGAAGAACAAATATTGTGAAAATGTCTATGCTACCTAGAGCAATCTACACATTTAATGCAATCCCTATCAAAATACCATCCACTTTTTTCAAAGAAATGGAACAAATAATTCTAAAATTTGTATGGAACCAAAAAAGACCCCAAATAGCCAGAGGTGACATCACAATTCCGGACTTCCAGCTCTATTACAAAGCTGTCATCATCAAGACAGTATGGTACTGGCACAAAAACAGACACATAGATCAATGGAACAGAATAGAGAGCCCAGAAATGGACCCTCAACTCTATGGTCAGCTAATCTTCGACAAAGCAGGAAAGAATGTCCAGTGGAAAAGAGACAGTCTCTTCAACAAATGGTGTTGGGAAAATTGGACAGCCACATGCAAAAGAATGAAACTGGACCACCTCCTTACACCACACACAAAAATAGACTCAAAACGGTTGAAAGACCTAAATGTGAGACAGGAGTCCATCAAAATCCTAAAGGAGAACACAGGCAACAACCTCTTTGACCTCAGCTGCAGCAACTTCTTCCTAGAAACATTGCCAAAGGCAAGGGAAGCAAGGGCAAAAATGAACTATAGGGACCTCATCAAGATAAAAAGCTTTTGTACAGCAAAGGAAACAGTCGACAAAACCAAAAGACAACCGACAGAATGGGAGAAGATATTTGCAGATGACATATCAGATAAAGGGCTAGTATCCAAAATCTATAAAGAACTCATCAAATTCAACACCCAAAGAACAAAGAATCCAATCAAGAAATGGGCAGAAGACATGAACAGACATTTCTGCAAAGAAGACATCCAAATGGCCAACAGACACATGAAAAAGTGCTCAACAGCACTTGGCCTCAGGGAAATACAAATAAAAACCTCAATGAGATACCACCTCACACCAGTCAGAATGGCTAAAATTAACAAGTCAGGAAATGACAGATGTTGGCAAGGATGTGGAGAAAGGGGAGCCCTCCTACACTATTGGTGGGAATGCAAGCTGGTGCAGTCACTCTGGAAAACAGTATGGAGGTTCCTCAAAAAGTTGAAAATAGAGCTACCTTATGACCCAGCAATTACACTACTGGGTATTTACCCCAAAGATACAAATGTGGGGATCCAAAGGGGCACATGCGCCCCAATGTTTATAGCAGCAATGTCCACAATAGCCAAACTATGGGAAGAGCCAAATGTCCATCAACAGATGAATGGATAAAGAAGATGTGGTATATATATACAATGGAATCTTATGCAGCCATCAAAAAACCCCCAAAATCTTGCCATTTGCAACAACATGGATGGAACTAGAGGGTATTATGCTAAGTGAAACAAGTCAATGAGAGAAAGACAAGTATCATATGATCTCACTGATATGAGGAATTTGAGAAATAAGACAGAGGATCATAGGGGAAGGGAGGGAAAAATGAAACAAGACAAAACAGAGATGGATACAATCCATAAGAGACTCTTAATCTCAGGAATCAAACTGAGGGTTTCTGGAGTGGAGGGGGGGTAGGAAGGATGGGGTGGCTGGGTGATAGACATTGGGGAGGGTATGTACTATGGTGAGTGCTGTGAATTGTGTAAGACTGATGATTCACAGACCTGTATCCCTGAAACAAATAATACATTATATGTTAAAAAAAAAAAAAAAAAGATTCTCCTTAGCATTGCAAGGGCTGAACTCTAGAAATACAAGTCCCTTTGGTACTCTCCCAGATAAGGCTTGGATGACAGGTGCAAGTACCTCCAGTCCAATCCTGGAAAAGTGGGTCAGTGGCCTGACATCATGTGGGCTGATTTGTTTTGGGGATTTTGTCAAACTTACAGTAAGAACACTTTCTCCTCCTCTTGAGTAGTAGTTTCCACTTATGCCACAAATAGCAATTATTGTTTCTATTAATTTGTGATTAATAATATCTTTGTACATTCTGGATATAATTTCATTTTGTCTGTGATATATGTTGTAAGCATTTTTTACTAGTTTAATGTTTAACTTTATTTATGGGACCCATTTGGTTTTATTTTGCCAGGAAGAAATTGTGTTTATAGTTAGACCTATAAATATTTTTCCGTTGCTCCACCCTCACTTTATTTTTGGAGAGGCTATACTTATCCTAAAATATAAAAGTATTCACCTCTTTCCTTATATTACCCTCTTTCCCACTTGTTTTATTAGTTCATGTATTTAGTCAGGCGGGCAGCAGGCATCTCTTAGCTTTCATCCTCAGATCTCACTACCATCCCCTCCTCCACATCCTTCTGCTACTTTAAGTCTCAGTCATTCTGATGGATGTGTGGTCATACCTCAATGTGTTTTAAATTTGCATTTCCATGAAGATTAATGAGGTTGAATACATTTACTGGCCATTTGGATATTCTCTTCTGTGAAATGCCTGATTAAATCTTTCACCCATTTTTGAAAAATTGGTTTTTTTCTTATTGGTTTATAGCAATGTGTAATATATTCTGGATATGAGTCTTTGTTGACTCATTATTAACCTTAGATCTATCCACCTTGTTAAATTCACCTATTAAGTCTAAAATTATTACCAAAGATTTTGTTTTAAGTAGGCTCCATGCACAGCATGGAGCCCCATGAAGGGCTTGAAATCACTACTGTGAGATTGAGACCTGATCTGAGATCAAGAGTCCGATGCTTAACTGACTGAGCCACCCAGACACCCCACCAAAGGTGGGTTTTTTTTTATTATGTTATGTTAATCACCATACATTACATCATTAGTTTTGATGTAGTGTTCCATGATTCATTGTTTGCTTATAACACCCAATGCTCCATTCAATACATGCCCTCTTTAATACCTATCACCAGGCTAACCCACCCCCCCACCCCCCTCCCTTCTAGAACCCTCAGTTTGTTTCTCAGAGTCCATAGTCTCTCATGGTTCATCTCCCCCTCCGATTTCCGCCCCCTTCATTTTTCCCTTCCTACTATCATCTTCTTTTTTTTTTTAACATATATTATTATTTCAGAGGTACAGGTCTGTGATTCAACAGTCTTACACAATTCACAGCACTCACCATAGCACATAGGTTTTTTTTAATATGCTACATATATAATCATGTCATTTTTAACTGAGCTTTATTTCCTCAATCCTTTTCCTTTTGTTGCCTTACTGTAAAGTCTAGACCTCCAATGCAATGTTAAACAGAAGTAATAACAGTGCATATGCTTGCCTCTTTCCTGATCCCAGGGGCAAAAAAAGTTCTTGCAGTTTTATATGTACGATGTTTGCTCTAGTGTGTGTGTGTATGTATGTGTGTGTGTGTGTGTGTGTGTGTGTGAGAGAGAGAGAGAGAGAGAGAGAGAGAGCCCTCCATTAGATTAAGAAATTTCCCTTCTATTCATAGTTAGCTAGGAGTTATTTTTATTAACATAAACCAGTGTTTGAATTTTATTAAATAAATTTTCTGTATCTTTTGAGATCACTGCTTTTTTTTTTGAATAATGGTAAATCATACTGATTATTATTGAACGTTATACAGTCTTGAATTTTTTAAATAAACCCAAATGGTTGAGATGTATTATTATTTCTTTCTATCACTGATTCAATGTATCAGTATTTTGTTTAGCATCTTTCAATTCATGTTCATGAGAGATTCATTTATAATTTTCCTTCTGTAGGATGTTCTTGTCAGGTTTGGCTGTTAAGGTTATACAGGTTTTATAAAACAACTTGAGATGTGTTCCCAAATTTTCTCTTTTAAGAAAGAGTTTGTTTAAAATTGGCATTATTCCTTTCTTAAATGTTTGGAAAAATTCACTAGTGAAGTGGTCTGGCCTGGAGTTCTATGAGGTGGCTTTAAATTATAGGTTCACTTTATTTAATATATTCAGATTTTTCTATTTCTGCATCAGTTTTGGTAAACTGTGTTTTTTTTAAGAGATTTCCTCACTTCATCCCCAAATTTAAATTTATTGGTATAGCATTGTGCTTATCATCTTTTCAATGTCTCATCCTTTCAATGGCTGTGGAATCTGTAGTTACATCACTTTTTCAGTCTTGATACTGGTCAATTATGTCTTTTCTCCTTTTTTCATTATCAGTCCTGCCTTGACTTTTCAAAGAACCAGCTTTGAGTTATTGCTTTTCTCTATTTTCCCTTTATTATTGTATTTAATTATTTTCTTCTCTGTTCTTAATGATTTCCTTATTTTCTTGGGATTTATTTTGCTTTTATCTCAAAAATGCTTTTTTTTTTTCCTTCTCAAAAGTGGATGCTTGGGCGGCTGGGTGGCTCAGTCGTTAAGCATCTGCCTTCGGCTCAGGTCATGATCCCAGGGTCCTGG